TGCTTCAATATTTTATAAGATGGAACAACTGTTTTAAACTTGCATGCTGGTGATCTGGACTCCTGGCTCAAGCTCCTTGACCTGCGCTGTGGTCAGCAACATGTTTAGGATTAGAAGCACAGTGACGAGAAATGGTGAGGAATTCCTCAGGATAAATCATTGCAAACCTCCTCACTCTCTGGACTGATGTAGTGGAAGAGCACTGTATTTCCTGTGCTGTTGAACCTAAGGAGCTGGAATCTGTGTTCCAGGATCTCTGTCTGAGCAGACTATGGAGGGTAGGAGAGGCTTAAGTGAGGCTCAGCCCTGATCCACCACGCTTATCCACAGGACATCAATTAATGACCTTTGGAGATGCTTCACCCAGGCGTGAGGTTTTCTCTGTTAGCACTTTGTCAGTCCTTTGATGACAGAGTGGGATTTGCAATTTGTGAACAAAGTCTACAGAGGCAGAAACATGAATGGAATCTCAGTGGAGTTAAAATAAAAACTTGATATAATGAAGCAACCAACTTTAATTTCAAAACAATGCAAAATATTGATTTCCTGGGTACATGAAAACAAACCTGGCTTAATTACTCACATAGAGATGAATTGGATATTTCTGAAAAAAAAAAAGGGTGTATTCTTCTGGATATGGAGGAGGCTTTTCCATCCTGAAGACTGGGACTTGGTTTGCCTATAGAGGTGATCCATATTTTTTTTTTATGTTAACATTTCTTCCTGGAGTTGCTTGTTGATCTGCCCTGTCTTCTGGACTTGGCATTCACAGCTTCTCTGTTGCTTTGCCTCCTTTACCTCTGTTGTCCCATGATCACCACGCTTCCCCCAGAACCCTAACTGTGCTGAGGAATCTCCTGAAAGGTTCTCTCTTTCGCACTGTAATCTCATGCATGTCTGTCTCCTAAGAACTTCTGTGGAACTGGAGAGGTAGCAGTTAAGAATACCAGCTGTAGGATGGGAGGAGGTGGCAAACACCTTTAATCCCAGCACTTGGGAGGCAGAGGCAGGAGGATCTCTGTGAGTTCGAGGCCAGCCTGGTCTACAGAGTGAGTTCCAGGACAGTCAGGGCTACACATAGAAACCCTGTCTCAAAACAAACAAACAAACAAACAAACAAACAAAAGAATACCAGTGGCTCTTCCAGAGGATCTGAGTTTACCTTCCAGCTTGAAATTCCAGCTCTAGGACATCTGACACCCTTTTCTGGCCTCTGTGGGCACTGTGGTCACGTACACACACACACACACACACACACACACACACACACACACACACACACACACAAATACAGTTAAAAACAGAACTTCTGTATAATTCTACTTCTGTTCTGGATTGCAGATTTCTTGCACGCACACATACACAAGCACACACACATACACACACACACACACACACACACACACACACACACACACACACACCATCAAAGGAATTTTAAAAGGAAGAAGCCTGGTCATCACATTTATTGTTTTATCTTTTATGAACTTCAGTTTAACTTGTGTGTGTGTGCAAATGTATGTGGGTGTGTGTGTATTAGAATGTGTGTGGAGACCAAAGGCCAACATCAGGTGTTATTCAGCCCCTGACCTCCACTATGTTTTTTTGTTTTGTTTTGTTGTTTTTGGTTTTGGTTTGGTTTGGTTTGGTTTGGTTTTGAGACAACATCTCTCACTGGCTTGAAACTTTAAAAAGTTCTATCCTGTTTCTTCCAGTTCTACATAGTCTCTTTCACATTATAGTTTGCTGTTTCTTGTTTGGGGTCATGCAACTCCTGGTTACAGTGTGGTCTGACCCTAGGACCTTGCTTTCAGCTCTCCTGTCCTGTCGTGGTATTCTGGGTTATGACTCTTCAAGTATGGCCCTGAGACTTCTTTGCCTCTAGTTCATAAAGCATCCCACTTTTAATTTTCTGCATCATCTCTAAACCTCTCCATCAATTTCACCACCAGGTTTGGGGCCTTGCTCTGCCCATGCCTTGCCCTTGTTCTTATCTTCTTGGTGCTTCCTTCTGTGTCTTGATTCTGACAGTGAGCCATTATCATCACATGATCCTAGGTCCTTCTCTCAGGGCCCTGCCACCATTGTGTGTTCTCCAATCTCCAATCACGTTAAACTGCTGTAATAGCACCTCACAGCTTATCTTCACCAAATCACTCTTCCAAAACCAGTTCCCAGTAGTTATGGGATGAATGTACATTTGTCATCTCAGGTTGATATTCAAAATATAATAGACTGACCAGTTTAAAAAACAAAAAAGGGATTTCTCTCATGGTTCCGGAGGTCAGGAAGTCCTAGCTCTAGGTTGTGGACGAGGGTTTTATTCCTAACTTGCAGAAGGTTAAGTCTTCACCAAGTCCTCATGGACAAAAGAGAGTGAGTGTTTTTCTATAGAAAGACCATTGCACAGGAAGTAACCCACCTCCGTCACCACACATTCAGCCAAGACTAATTACTGTCCCAAACCACCATGTCAAATACCATCTCCTAGGCTTATGGCTTCAACATATAAGTCTGGGGGAAATATAAATCATCCAAACCTTGTTTTCAGCTTATTTGTGTTCACTTACCCATGCCCTTCTTGTCAGTAAATCCTTGTATCCCCACTTTCTTCCTGACATCTCTGTTCTCGTGGCTCCCTTACTCGCCAGGTCTCTCTTGAATTTAGTTAAATCTTACTGATTTTCATGATATTTCTATTCTTCTTTTATTATGCTCAACTTGTGTATTTCCCTTAACTGCTTGCCTGAATACATGGAGTGGTAATGGTTCTGTCACTGCATCACTTACACTGAGGTTCTCTTAGAATGCTAAGATCATATCTTGAATATGTTCATGATGAGCAAGTCAGGCTTGGGAAAAGAATTGGTGGTTTGAGCTCTCTTCAGACCATACTTCACCCCAGAGCATTTCATGAGCATCTGCTTTGACTTCCAGTTAAACAGGATTTTCCATCCCATAGTTTAACTTTTAAAACCCTTACTCTCCCCAACCCCTGACTATCAAGCCCTCTTCGGAAAGTCTTTCTGTTTTCCTTTATCTTTGTAACTTTACAGTTAGGATCTATCTCACTAGTCACTCAAGAGCTGTGGCTTGTGCCTAACTATCAACATTTCCATTCATGTTTCAGTCAGTAACCAAGAGATAGAGTAAACACAATGTCCCTTCAACTTCCCCTGATTTCAAAACATCCCGGGGAAGTAAAAGACAAAATTAGACAACAATTAATTACTTCTTTTCCTCATCATCTTAGCCTGGTATCTGACAATAGCAAACATTAAATAATTGGGCTGAATGAAGAATGAACTAATTTTCAAGCTGAGTCCTTATAGCACAAATTATTAGAAGGTCTTATTAATAAAATCAAACCTGGAGTCAGGTATTGGGATGAATGCTGGATGATCAGAGAAGCAGAGCAAGCCACAGCCACCTCACTTTGCCAGTTCCTCAGCTGATCCTGTTTCCTCAGACTGGAAGCTTCTGAGTCCTCATCCAAATGGATCTGAGCTGAACTCTGTTGCTTAAAGCCTAAAAGCTTAACCATCCTAGTTCCTGGTCCTCACGTCTTATATACCTTTCTGCTTTCTGCCATCACTTCTTGGGATTAAAGGCTCTTGTTACCACGCCTGGCTGTTTCCAGTGTTCTCTTGAACTCACAGAGATCCAAGCAGATCTCTGCCTCTTGAATGCTAGGATTAAAGGCGTGTGTGCCACCATTTTCTGGCCTCTATATCTAGTGGCTGTTCTGTTCTCTGACCCCAGATAAGTTTATTTATCTGGGTAACAATATTTTGGAGAACATAATACCACCACAGAGTTCTGAATCCTGCCAGCATAGAAACTGGAATCAATACAGGCAGACCTCAGATCTCTAACATCTTGAGTCAGTCCTTTACTTTCTAGAAGATGAATGGAAACCCATGGATACTAACATGCTTGCCTTCAACTAACAGAGTGGCCAACCCAGACAAGAGCTCAGACCAACCCTACTTTGTACATTCTAAAATCCTTTATCTATAGTCTGTAATTTAGAACTCACTAATTCAAAGAGTTTAAATGGTAGCTTAGTGGCAAGTGGAAAGATTTTGGTGGAAATATAATAAAACATAATAGCTGTAACAAGATCCTAGAATAAAAAATATACTCAAGAGGACAATTTATTTTAAATGAGGAGGGGTGAGGAAGAAGGAAAAACAGAGAGAAAAAGGGAGATGAAGGAAAGAAGGGAGAAAGGAAGGAAGGAAGGAAGGAAGGAAGGAAGGAAGGAGGGAAGGAAGGAAGGAAGGAAAGAGTTCCCAGCTTCCTTGTGTGATTTTAATAAAGATCTGCATTCCAACTAAAAGACAGACCAAGAGCACCTTGTATTCCAGACAGGCTGCAGGATCTGATTTTCATTTTTGCTGCATCCACTCTGCATCGGTATTCTTGTCAGTCTCTGAAGGCTATGGGGAGTCGGCAGGGGTAAAAATCTCTGAACTATCTGACAGTGGCTGAACCGAAATAACTCTCTGAAAACTGCAGCTTTGTTTACATGGCTGCAGAAAGGGCAGACTGCTTTGACAGACTTGGTACCCCACTGATCTGATATTTGGACCATATGCATGCTGAGTCTTGGAGGAATGGCCAAAGCAGACATTTAGGGGATACAGCCTGACACTGTTTCCCCTGCCTTTTCTGCTGAAGTTCAATAAAGGCCATCTCTTAGAAGCACATAAATCTACTTACAGATTAAAAACAACAACAGCAACAGCCAAGGAATTCATTTTCTTTACATGAGAGAGATCGTTTGATTCCTTAAATTCTCTTCTACATCCACCGTGAGGGGAAGTTGCTGTCATCCATGTTCATTTCAAGGCTGTCTCACATCTCTTCTCTTTCTTTGAATCTCTGCCTTGTTTTGTCCAAACTAGAGGATAACAGCGCCTATTACTTTATATATCTTGTTTCCAGAAACAATAGCTCGTGGCACTTCCATTATTTATTCCTTTTTCTTCTGTCAGTGACACAATGGTCTGCTGCTTGCCAAGAACTCTGCTTTTCCAAGCCAGTGAGTCCATTCCCTACAGTATTTTCTCAGCTTCAGTTTCCTGTGAAACAGAAAAGAACGTGGATGATTGTTCTGCCACACGGTAACTCAGTTTCGAATTAATTCTGCGGAACACTGGGAAATGTTCGAGATGATTGAGATCTGAACGGGTGATGAAAGCGGTAGCCTTGATCATGGTACTGATGGTGTCAGGGGTGAATGTGATGGTTGGTGCTGGCTGACAGCTAGAGTGCATCTACAGTCACCTAGGAGGACGAGATTCCCAGCACACCTGTGAGGGGCACCTAGCTTAGTTATCTACCGGTATATTTGGGGACAGTACTGGCTGGATTAGATGATGTGAGAAGAGCCATCCTAAATGTGGACAGCACCATTTCTGTGAGCTGAGGTCCTAGACTGAATTAAAAGGAGACAGCAAGCTGAGCACAGCCATCCATGGCTCTTTGCTTGTTGACATGCGTGTAAGATGATCTTCCAAGCTCCTGTAGCTGGGACTTCCCCATTACGAAGGACTATAATCTTGAACTTTGTAGCAAAGTAAACCATTCCTCCCTGTGGTTGCTTCTGTCAGGGTACTTTGTTACATCAACAAGGAAAGAAGCTAATATAGTGCAGACAGTGGTACCCCTGATGTGGTCACGGTGACATTTGCCCTCACAGCTGTCTTAAATTTTTTATTAATTTCTTGTATTTGAGAACCCCCCACATAAATAAAAGATATAGAGTCAGATCGTTTCATATGCTTATGTCACCCAAGTAGTCCGTGCATTTACCAGAAAATGCTTTCTAATATTTCCCCCAAGTTTGCTTATTCTGTCACTGAACAGGATAGCATGGCTTTTCTCTTCAGGATGGCACATTTCAGGTCAGAACTTACACTGTTCATTTATTCTGTAAATAGCTATTGCATGCCTTAACTGAGGGATGATGTTATGTTAAGCAGAGGAGAGGTGATGCCTTCTCCAAGTTGTAATCGAGGACATAGAGCTGCAAGCTCCAGACAACATAGGGAAGTCTGTTTGGGTGGACGGGCATAGCACAGGCTGAAAAGAAGAGGGATGATCAGTTTTTAGTAGAACAAGTCAAAGAAGGCTTGGAGAGAAAAGTTCAGCAGGAAGCTTTCTAAATAGAAGAAGCTCAGCCCAAAAAGCATCTGGCCTGAGCGCATCTGCATTGCTCCAGAGAGTTACTCAAGGGAGAGCGTGATGCAGGGGAATGCAGCGCTGACGTCAGAGAAGCTTGGACACCAAGCCAGCCATCCCTTGACAGTTTCTAAGGGTCATTCTTTGCACACTTTTATTCTCTCTTTAGTAGTCTTAACAGAAGAATGACATGCTTAGCTGCTAGAAATATAATATCATTGAAAAGCCAAGGGAGAGGATAAATTAGAGTGGATGGCCTTTGAGGGGAGAACCAGTTAGAGCTCCGAACTAGAACGGGGCTGTGGTGAGGGAAAGGTGGTGATGCAAATGCAGAATGGAAGAGAGAGGAATTCAGAGATAATTTTTTTAGTGTAGAATGACTTAGATGATCTACAAGTGACAGAAACATTGGACTAAACAGCACAAGTCAGGGTGTGGTTTGTTGCTCAATTATTCAGCTTCAAAATGATGTACTTTTGAGATCCTAAGAGTGGGTAACAACTGATGACGTTTTGCATAAGTGGAAGGGTGTAAGCGGAGATACTGGTGAAGCACTTTCCACAGCACTCTAACAAAACTTAAGTTTCCTGGGCGACCTAGAACTCACTTTCTTGTCTCCTGCTTTCATGTTGGGGTCACTCAGTTTACATTTACAAGGATTGATCTTTCTTCCATTTTCCTCTGGATAAGTAGAGGATTAGACATGGTTCATAGTCCTCCCCTCCACAAATTTTAATTTTGTTTGGAGAAATATATAAATTCTCTGTCCCAGACCTCAATACAGAAGACGGAGGAAGAAGAGAGGAAAGAAAGCAGGACTAATTAGTAATGATTATCACAGAGTCAGGGTAGAAGCCAGAGAGGAAGGCCTTACCTTGGAGGTTGGAAAACTAACCTAAAATGAAACAAAACAAAATAAAAACAATAAAATCATTACATGCACATTTTCCAAAACCAAAATGTGGTCTTTCAGTGTCCATAAATAAGGTCTGTAACATCAAGAGACAGATTTTGTCATTTTAATAGACGTGTTATCATATTCCATTTGTTTTATCTCTTCCCACTGGCTTCATTTTTCTAAGTAAGTTAGTATTTGAAACAAAGCCAATAATATTAGTGCTCATACTAAAAGAGCCAATCCAAAAGCAAGGCAAGAAAATAGAATAGCACAACTTACCACCTTTTCCCCATATTGTAGTCAGAGCGAGATGATTCCAGGGCAGGTGAGGATAATAATGTTCCTGCTAGGATCTGTGGAAGAACATGTTGGGATGTGTCTGTGTGAACACACATAAAGATTGCCTGAGATATAATGACCATTTCTCTTCCCTTTAGAAAACAGGTTATGATTGCAGAGACATGAGAATAATCATTCTTGAAGGTACATCAGAGTGAGACTTTGAAGGCTGATGAAGAATTAGCTTGTTAGAAAGAAATGTGGAAAGGGAAGTATGTGCAAAATCTGTAAGTAGAAGAATTTGGCAAGCAGATGTATATTAATGATATCTCTAGGCTGGGTGTTATACTGGAGGTCATGGAATGTTGGTCTATCAGATTACATATGATAGAAGAAGTTTAGAAAATTGATTTGAGAATGCCTTAGCAGATTTTCAAGAGAGGAGAAAATTGCAGCATTATTGCATTATGAATGAGAACAAATTAATGTTATCAATATTAATGAAATTAACGAAAAGCTAATAGTACTTATTGTGTGACAGACGTTTAATAATTAATTCAATAATGATAGTACAATATAATTCAGGCAGTATTATCCCAGTACTATTTACCACATTTATAAACTGAGAAGCCAAACAGAGGAGGACTTGGAACAATTAGCGTAACACATAGTTCAACACAAGCCAGGTGCTGCTGAAGAACTCATCCTTAGAATCATGTATGTCCTTTGCATGGTCATGTGAAGGGCAAAGAAAACTGAGAAACTGTAAGTCTATTCTCAGTACTAGGGACTGCACAGCAGAGTTGACAGGAGTGGTCCACTGGTGAGCCTGTGGGTGTCTTTGTAGGTCAAACTTCAGATTATTTAAAGAGAGAGACATATCTCCAAGCAGTCCTGAGTCAGCTTGGCCTTCAACAATGGACCTAATCTTCTCATGACATTGGCTTTGCTTTCAGTGATCATTCCCTTAATTGCTCTCATAAAGTTTTGCTCATGGAAGCTCAGTCTGTTTGTTCTCTATGTGAATGGTGTAGTTGCCTTTCTGTGATAATGCATTGAGTTCTTACTGCACTGTGCATGCTTGTATTAGCTTTTAGGAGGAAAAAATGTATGTAGCTCCACATCATTGTGGAGAAAAGGATACTTGTTGATCACCGAATCCAAAGGAAGTTCTTGACCTGTCTTCCCTCTAAGACAATCCATTCTTAAACAGATTGTCTCAAAGTTCTTTCTTACCTCTGTGATTAGCAATTTAATGTCCCTTACAAAGGATCCTGTCATCTGGATGGGTACCAGAGAGTCATTCTCTCTGGGATAGATTTCTACCATTCCCCAACCCCCTCCCCTGAGGATCTGTAATCTTTTCCTGATCATCAGAACCTAACTGAGGATACAATTCCATACGGCCTTTCAAGTTCCAGCACAGCAGCCACAGTCTCTGTGAGCGCGTTTCCTAATCCTTCTTCTCTAAGGAGCAGTACTGTGGACTGGGTTGGTGTGAAAGGCCTTATGCAGCATAGAGGCAGAACAGAGGAGTGGCTGTGTTGCTAATGATAGACAATCATTACAGGAGAAGAAACTGTATGCACAAATGTAAGGATACCGAAGAATTAATTTCCAGGGAACCATAATTATGTCGGCACACATGCCCAGTTAATTCCTTGATTTGTTTAACATAGCATTCTCCCCCTCCCTCTCCCTCTCCCTCCCCTCCCCCCTCCCCCTCCCTCCCTCTCCCTCTCCCTCTCCCTCTCTCTCTCTCTCTCTCTCTGTCTCTCTCTCTCTCCTTCCTCCCTCCCTCCTTTTCTTTCTCCCTTTTTCCTTTCCCTGTTTCTACAGTACCTACACAGGAGGCAAACACCTTACCACTGAGTTATACCACAAATCCCTTTATGAAAAAAAGTTAGTTTGAAATGGGGTCTCACTTACCCAGGCCATCCTCAAGTCTTCACCAGGCTGCCTTTGAACTTGCGAACCTCATTCCTTCTTTGTAGCTACAGTATGGGTGTGAAACAGTGTACCTGCCTTGGTGTTCATGGTTTTGTTCTATAACATGTTAATGTATGATCTGTGAAACAGGATGTTTTTAAGAAATATTGAAAAAACTGAATTTAAAATGGTTGCTTTGTGGTAGCATCTTTAATACAACACCATACTCCATGACTCACCTAAGGGAAATGAGCACTTAGGGCTTATTCCGTATGTCTTTACCAGCTTGTGAAAATTATCTTCTACATAACAAACTCTGTAAATGCTGCTTCAGTGTTACAGTAAGGTTAAGGAAAACTGAGGTTAAGGAATCTGATGCTAAAATTACAAATTCCAGCATTGAGATACATTTCACAAGTGTGAAAACCTGTATTTTAACCATAATATGCTTGATGAGCAAGGATTTGAGGAACTACTAGAATTTAGTCTGAAATGCATCTTTGATACCTACAGTATCCAAATTCTTAACACTGAAGGAACAAATAAAATTTGTAACAATCTAAAAATGGGATTGCTTCACAGCCTTCCAAGAACATTTTCTAGAAAAGACCTGGGTCAGCATTCTGGAGTTGGTTTTCTTTCAGCTGAACTTGTTTCTGGCAATGCAGACATGTTGTAAAGAGTGCATTTCAGAAAAAAATTCATGTAGGATTTCATTCCAGAAAACCAGTTTTAAGATATTTTGGATGAGTTTTATGGCTGATAATCCCTATTTGAGAGGGATGGAAAAGAAGAACATTATTCTTGTCATACCACAGGATTCCTTTGGCTTGA